TAGTATTTATCTAAATGTTTATCCAGTTAGCTTTTAATTGTTTGTGTCTATCCTCGTTTTTAGTTTATCAATTTTAACAAATTCTTGTAATCCCTATGTATAGCTTTGCGGTTTTAATGAATGATATGTTTTTTTTCCCTCTGATTTCAATACCATCGAATTTAAGAGAAAATGGATTAACCGTATTTGCGGTTAATGGTGAGGTTTTGGCTAATAACCGCACCGAAACCCTAAACCACACCACGCTCACCCTAGGTAAAATACTGAATTACTGATTTTGGACAAACACACAAAATATACTGATTTCGAATAATACAATAGTTTCACCTTATTCAACTCGAGCAAAGAAAACTGATTTAGACTAACACGAAAAAGATACTAATTTCGGAGGAAAAAAAGTTATCTTTAACTAACCAATAAAAAATTGATTTCAATTAACATAAAAATGCTTATTTTGACTAGGACTGTTAACATACAAAGTCAGACGATACATTCTTCAAAGGTTTTTGGGATAACTTTTAAAATGACTTTTTGGATTTTTGGCTTTTTCAAAAAGTTAAAAGTTTGAAATGTTGTTTGGTAATTATAAAAGTCCTTTAACTTTTTGGCAAGAAGAAAAAGTTATGGTTTTAAAAGTCACAAATTATGACTTTTGATGATTTTTGATTTTTTAACCTTTACTTCAAAAACTAATCCAAACACATTTTAAAACCTATTTTTTTTGAAAAAAGCTATAAGTCAAAAAATCTTTTGTTGAAAATGATTTTGTAAACTAAAAAGCAATCTCAAACACCCCTTCAATTCGACCAGCAACATAAAATTTGATTTCGACTAACCCACAAAAAGATTGATTTTGAATAACAGATTGAAAACAACTGATTTCGGCAAAGAATAAAATAGGAAAATTTTGATTTAGTTTAACATACAAATAAAAGATCATTCTAACTTAGAGTAAAAGCATACAAAACAAATGGAATCGACGATAACTTACGGATGAAGAAGGAATGGTAGTGGCAACAGGTGAAGACATGAACTGCCGATTACTTAAAGGCCTATAAGGGTTTTCTACTAATCTTGGAAATTGGTTAAACTAAAATAGAATTTGGACCCTTCATTTTTCAAGAAACGACTCTTCATTTTTCAAGAATCTAAAATTTTATTATTTAATTCAAAATGTTATGGCCTTACCTATACTAATTAATAAGCTATAAATCGTATATATAGTATTATTTTCGGGTTATATATCGGGTTAATTTTGAGTTATTATCGTGTTGATTTTGTTTTTATTTTTTTAAACCTGAACACGACACGATACGACGTTGTGTTTTATATTTACGATATGAACACGACACGAACACGAATTCAAATTTGATTTCATCTCAATTTCGTTTCGTGTCGTTTTTTTTAGTCGTGTCAACTTTTACGACCCCTACTCTAACCCAACCAAATACCATTCGTCGGTTCTTCTCCAACTTGGAGCTGCAAAAGATACACAGAGAAAGTGGGCAAGACAGTCGAAGAGGCGAAGTAGATCTGAAGTGTTTTTTAGACGGTAGTGCTTGGGTACGCTGGAGACAAGTGAGCGCATCGACCATGTTGTTGGGCTTGTCACCTCTCAGGTGTCGGCCCGACTTTTGAAACATTTGGACCACCGATGACCAACCACAACGATTTCCGGAACAAAATCCATCATGATTTACGCATCTGGCCGAAGTTGGGATTTCAAGATATGCAAACAATTTATGGAATGCTAAGGCCGGAGGTAGGAGCTTTAGGATCTGTTAACGATTTTTGGAACTCAAGTTCTTGAAAAACAGGTTTTTGGCATTATGTTCGATCAATTTTTGAAATGGATTTCATAAACTATTTTGTACAATTGATTTTGGGCAAATTTGTTTATATGATTTTTGGCAGATTTTGGGTTACCTACTCTTCCACATGCAAACTGTAAATTGCAGCCTCTAAACACTAGACAAATGAAAATCAATAAGAACGATGGATTTTTTTTTCCTAGATTTACATAAAACTAAAAACAGTTAAAGGATTTTTGAGATTGTTCTATAATTAATTTGTTTGTTCTTTAGGTTTTACAGAGATTGTAAGGATTTTTATGGCTTTTGTTGAGTTTTTTTTCTTGGATTCAACATTTAAAATGTTGATTTACATATTTTCAATCATCAGAATATTCTCTTTATCTCTGATGGTGAGGGTATCAATGGAGGTATGTTCAGGTGCGGTGGTAGGTGGACGGAGATGTTTTCCGACGAGTAGAGATGATCGGACATGAAGCAGTCGAAGATGAAGGTTCATATTTCTTATTTCCAGATTTAAGGGTTTGGATGGGGAGCGGTATAGATGGTTTTTTTTTTTTTTTTTTTTTTTTTTTTTTTTTTAAATATAATTAAAAAACAAATTATAAGTAAATAAAAAAGAAATTAATAAAGATAAAATAGTTATTTTATATCCGTGAAGGATGATCCGAATTAATTTTTAAAAATAAAAACACACTCAATTAATTTTTAAAAATAAAATCTATCCATTTTGACATTTGGATAATTTATCACCGAAAACATTATAGGCCCAATAAAAAAGATCTACACTAGAATTGACTTTTCCTTACTTAAAACAATAATTATTACATAAAGAATTTAATTCATGTGAACATTTTAAATTTTGGTTAAGTTTTTTTAATATTAAATTAAATTGATTTAATTTTAATTAAATTAATAGTTTGGATATAGATGTGAGTTTTATAGTTTTAAGTGCCATTTGTTTTTTTGGCTGTAAATCTTCTTGAGATCTCTTGTCTGCGTTGCGCAGACCAAATGTAGACATTAGCCTTTGCATGTTGTTTGTGTTTTTTTTTCTTTTTGAAGATTGCAGACCTAAAAATATATGCGCGTCATTTTCTTGGTACAGATGTGAACTAGAGTCTTTTAACATCTTTTTAGCCTAATAAAGTAAATACATCTTTATTTTTTTAGTTTTTTAATATATTTATTCCAACTTTCTTAATGATGAACAATTTGAAAAAAAGGTCACAATACTTAAAAAAAGGTTCGACAACATAAACATTGTCTTTTTGACAAATTTATAAATAATGATTTATTACAATAATTGCTATTGAAGTTGCTTATATAAATATGAAAAAAAAAATCATAGTATATTTTTATATTCTTTGTGCCAAATTTTATAAAGTATTATGTAATACAACATTGTCAATTTTTTTGGGAAAATAGTTATGAAATGTTTTTAATTAATTTAATTGATAAAATCGAAGTTTATTTCCATCTATTTATATATCAAATTATTTGATTCATAATTACAATGTTAAGTATAACTTTGCGACTAAAATTGTTTTTTTTATCAAATATATACGTTAATTCGTATAATTTTTTATTTTCACTTTTTATACAATAATAAATAAAAGTTGATCTACACTTGATAAATATCTATAACAAAATTATAAAAATATTAAAAAATCACTTTGATATTAAAAAAAATCAGTTTATTTATATTTTAGTTTTTTTTCGTAGCTTGTAGATGTTAAAAAAACAAATAGTTTTTTATTTTTTTTCCAAATTGCAGATGTTTGGCCCATATTTTTTACTACAGAGGTCTACAGATGTTGTCCACAGACTGTATACATTTTGCCTAAAAAAGCAAACAACACCTTAAATTTATACACATGTAAATTTAAAATTTATAAGAATATAAAAATAATATTTAAAATTTTTAAGGATGTAAAAGAAATTCTACTGGCGTGTATAGTAAAGTGAAAATTTTATAGAATAAATGGACACATTATTCGAACTTGAGTTGCTTGTACCATTGGAAAGCGGTATTGTCAATTCATGCGGAAAACCTTTATGTTACAAATAAAATGCATCGTATATATACTTAAAATTGGGCCCTAAAATTTTGAGGCCCTATACGTTATACATCTTGCACACTCATGATGGCGGAGCCTACTTGAAATCATGTGTAGAATTTATGATTATGAAAATTATGGTATTATTTTCATCAAATCAAGCAGACGGGATTTTGTAACATCTAACTTGACTTGATTTATTGAATTTGTTAGACAACAATTTGGTAAGAAAATCAAATATACCAAATAAATTTGTGCTAAATTTATACCAAACCATATAAATTTGTGCGTATTTCACTAAACGTTAATATACCAAATAAATTTGTGCTAAATTTCGGCCTAATTGATTAAATGACTATTATCTTTGAAGCAAATTGACCAAACCATAAATGAAAATCAGTATTAGTAATCTATCTCAACCTTACGATTTTAAATAAAGAGATACAAAGTTTTACCTCATTCATAAAGCGATGTTGTTACTTCTGAATTATTTTTTGATGACTTAACAATCCTATAATAAAGTTTTTCTGGTTTCAACATAAAAACCGATAATATAATCTGATAAAGTTTTTAAACTTCATGGTTTACCCTTTTTTTAGTAGTAGCAAGTGAAAAACACCTACAAGTAAACATAGAAAAGATTATCCACAAAATTAGCTATGTGTCACCACGAGTAGTAAACATGTACCAAAAATTAAATCATAAAAAATAGTTGAAAAGATTATCCAAAAAATACCCATTTTCATGTTATTGATATACAAATTACAATCACAAAACCAAATACAAAACAATCACGCGTATGCAACACATCGAAATTCCATAAGTACTAAAATGTCATTGTAAACTTGTCTCGATCTAAAGTGCGCTACTGTTTATGGTGGACACGCAAACGTGTTTCCATGGACTAGATTGCTCGACCCTCAATTGACTAACAACACAGAGTGCATATCTTAAACGCTAAAGCACATACTTTTAGCCATTTAAGGACGTCTTTATATATCTAATCCCCAAAACTGGATTGAATTCTCTTCGTGGTAATGGTATCCAGCGACTTCGAAAACATTCAACACAGTCATACCCACAAAAACCTTTAAAGTCGCCCAATTCGCTTTGACTGGAAAACCCATCAATGGCAGCGGCTAAGGATCTCAAAACCCCTTTACTTCCGTCCTCCGACGACTACGGCCGCCTGTCACAGCCACCATCAGATGCCGATCATCAACTTCATAACCCTCAACTCATCCTAGACGTCATCGATCATTTGGATCCTTCCGCATCTTCAAATCATGAAACACCGACAAACGAATGTTCAATTTCTATCAATACCCAATTGGATTTTGATGAAAACCCATATGGGTTTATTGGGTCAACCGGGTTTTGAAGTTCCCGGGTCGACCACGGTGGATCCGTTTAGGAACCATACACCCAAGATTGAAGGGGTTTATGAGTGGGTTAAGTTGTTGATCTGTGCGCCGATTGCATTAGCTCGACTTGTATTGTTCGCATTTTGTTTGGCGATCGGGTATCTCGCTACAAAATTTGCATTAAGTGGCTGGAAAGATAAACAAAATCCAATGCCCAAATGGAGGTGTAGGGTTATGTGGATCACCCGATTGTGTACTAGGGGGATTCTGTTTTCATTTGGGTAAGCTCAATTTACCCTTTTTTTGTAATCATTACGCATCTATGAGTCAAACTATCACGAACTACTGCTCATATTAACCATTTGCAGATACCATTGGATACAGCGAAAGGGGAAACCAGCTCCAAGGGAAATTGCTCCTATCATTGTATCTAATCACGTATCTTACATTGATCCAATCTTCTTCTTCTATGAATTATTCCCAACAATTGTTGCATCTGAATCCCACGATTCCATGCCCTTTGTTGGTACCATTATTAGAGCTATGCAGGTAAACAAATTTCATCCACAGTTCTTTTCTACCATAATATCTCGACTCTTCATGGAAATTTTTTCTTCCATTCTTCACATATAGGTGATATACGTAGATCGTTTTTCACAACAATCACGGAAGCATGCAGTAAACGAGATAAAGGTAAGCAAGTTGAGAGGTGTCATTGTAAAATCACATATATGTATGTAAGCAATTTGATACAGAATGTGCTTTTAAGGATTTGAATACAGAGAAAAGCCTCCAGCGACAGATTTCCTCGGCTACTTTTATTTCCTGAGGGAACCACAACAAATGGAAGGCTGCTTATTTCATTTCAACATGGCGCATTTATACCTGGTTATCCTATTCAACCAGTTGTTGTTCGTTATCCTCATGTACATTTTGATCAATCATGGTACGAATTAAGATCATAATCAATTTTGACTATTCAATTGACTTTCTCATCGTACATTTTGATCAATCATGATTTATCACATGGTTTGTAGGGGTCATATTTCATTGGCGACACTCATGTTTAGAATGTTCACACAATTTCATAATTTTATGGAGGTATATAACTATATACTCATTGTTTGTTGTTTAAGCATGTAAATATATATAACATGTTTTCTTTGTACTTTTTTTAGAAAAAAGTAATAACTAATTTTGGAATTGATTAGGTTGAATATCTTCCCATTGTTTCACCCTCGGAACATCATAAGGAAAGTGCTGTTCGTTTTGCTGAAAAAGTGAGTTTTCTGTTTTATTATAATTGCTTACTTACAAACATTTTAAAAATACACGTTACAATTGCTTAGCTTTTAGATCTCTGTTTTCAAATGATTAGGTTTTCAAATTTTGAACTTATAGATTTTTGTTTAATTATTTATGCAGACAGGTAGAGCCATGGCTCGTTCTCTCAATGTTGTGCAAACATCACATTCGTTTCTTGATTACTTGCTTCTTTCAAAGGCAGCTGATTCTGGACATGTAAATATATATATATATCTACTTTTCTTACAAAAAACTATTTATCAAAAAGGAGTGAAACCACATGTTAATATTGTTCTATTCTTTTTACAGGAAAATCCATCTCTCTTTGTGGTTGAAATGGCAAAGATTCAACAAGTGAGTGTGTATCATAAGTTCAGTGTAATCAATTTATCACTTCTATTATTATAATACTTGAGATGAATCTTTGTGTTGCTTTTTTTTTTCTCAGTTATTTCATTTGAGCTCTTCAGATGCTCTAGACTTGTTGGATAGATTTCTTGCTATGAATCCTGATTCCAGGTATGTCATTATTAATATCATTGTTTTTAATCATGTTGTTTAGTTGTTCATCTCTAATTTCCACAATTCTATTTCTAGATTCAATTACTATCTTTTTTGCATTTAAGGAATTTCAAGAATCTTATTTAAATTACAATCTTTTTTGCAGTGGAAACGTCAAAATTCAAGATTTTTTAAGGGTTTTAAGATTAAAGCGTTGTGGTCTCTCAGAAAAGGTCAGTTGTCAAATTGTTTCTTGATGAGATTGATCTTGGCAAGATTTAGAGGGCATTTTTGTAAAAGTACATATATGCCCCCTTGTAGTTCCCAACATCATAATAGATTGCTTATTAGCATCATTATCTTTTTTCACAGATGTTTGAGTTCATTGATGTGGGCAGGAATGGGAAAATCATCTTTAAAGAGGTAAACCATGTCTGCTAATGCATGCATCTTTAGAGGGTATTTTTGTAATTTACATAATTTCGTACCCTGCAGTTCTTGGTAGCATCAGCTCATGTACTCAACCAGCCATTGTTCCAGCAAGCTTGTGAAATGGCCTTCACTGAAAGTGACATTAATCAAGATCATTACATTTCTGAGCAAGAAGTAAATTTTTTTTTTTTTTTTTTTAAAATTTCAAATTTGTCTTCACTGAGTCATTGTCATCATTAAATGTTTTGAATAATTCGTTTCTTGAAACTGCTACAGTTTGGTGCTTCATTGATGCCAGCCATGGGAAGTTTGAGTACGGATGAGGTGAGGGACCAATTACGTCATTTATTTATAGTTTAGGGACCAGTTATGTCATTTATGTACAGTTAACTTATGCCCTTGACATGATCATGAAGTGAAAATTACTATATTGCAGATAGATGGGGTGTTCAATCTATTTGATGAAGATGATGATGGTCGGATCAGCAAGGGCGATTTTGTAAATTGCTTAAGAAAGAACCCATTGCTCATAGCACTTTTTTCTCCCCATTTCATGCATAAAGACTTGGATCAAAATGCAGCAGCTGGTTATTTAGAGGAAATTGTGTGATGTATTCAGGATCAAAGGGGCATTTTTCATGGAGCTTTTGTCCTTATGGATGGGCAATTGTGTAATTTTGTTGGGTTGTGGGGGTTTATAGACAAACTGGTAATCATAGTTTCATGTTCTTTTAAAGTACATATTGAATGAAAACGAAATGATGTGTGGCAGTTGAAGTAATGAGCCTTCATAAAGGTGACTACAGTTTAAGCTCTGTTTCTTATTTCTTTTTTTTGACCGAATAAACTGTTTTAATGACTCTTAAAGACTATTTTATCCTTGCATGCAAAAAAAAAATACAATATACGTTAATAATTGTCAATTATAACATATGATGTAAGCAAAAACTAGATAACAAATAGGTAAAGATTTAATTCATTAAGCTAAGTGTTGTGGTTTAATGAGGGTGGTTTAACTATTAAATTAGGTTTATACTTCATCTAGTTTTTTGATCTTTTCGATTGTTTTATCTGAAATTAGGTTTATACTCTATCTGATTTTGTACTTGTTGATACTGAGTTAGAGTAACTCCCCCTTTGTATAACAGTGATCGACATTAAAGAACCATGTGAAAAAAAAAGCATCAATCTCATGCATATGTGTGTTTAAAAACAAAAGTTCAAGAACAACACAGCACAACAACGAGTATCTTTAATGTTAGCTTCTTCAACACCTCTTACATATACGTAGAATCTTGTTTGATATGTGAAGAATCGCATTAGTATATACAAGGTAACCTTATTATTATTATTATTTATTTTTTTATTTTTTCATTATGTGATTCCTTGACCTCATGAGTTTTTTATGATTTAAAATATTTTCAATTTTCAAGTAACTATTATGCTTTCTACAACATTTCTTCTTTTTATTATCTTATAAAACCTGGGCAATGCATGAAAAAGACCAATATACCTTTACTTTCTTGTCTTCGGAAAATTTTAAAGGAATTCAAATGTTATTTTGAATTCATATCTTTATCTTTAGTTATCTCTATCTTTAGTTTATGTTGCTAGCATTGTTATCTTTACGCTTTATTAGCTTCATCAGATATTGTATTTAAAGTTTTTTGAGAAATCAATTAAGGTCAAGTTATCGTACTATCAGTTTTTTCATGGTATTAGAGCCAATCGATCCAACCTAAAAGAAAACCCTACCATGGGCACCGGTGGTGAAGAAGGCTTCGGCAAGAAAGACAATGAAACCACAAATATCAACTCCAATTCACCTTATTACTTGCATGCGTTTGATTATCCCAGACAAATGCAAGTGAATGACATTCTAACTGATAGCAATTACAGCGATTGGTCACAGGAGATGACAAATTTCCTGTATGCAAAGAACAAGATGGGATTTGTGAATCAAACCATCGAGAAACCAGAAGAAAACGCTGATGAATACTTGATGTGGATGAGGTGTGATGCCATGATCAAAGGATCGCTCACCACAACAATGGAGAAAGGCATCAGATCCAGCGTGAAGTATGCCTCCACATCAGCAGAAATATGGGCAGATCTCAAGGAACGTTTTGGAAAGGAGAGCGTCCCTCGTGCTTATGAACTAAAGAGAACACTAACTATTACACACCAAGATGGCGCTTTCGTTTTTGCCTACTACACTAAGATGCGGAGTGTATGGGATGAGATTCAATCAGTGTGCCCTCTGCTCTCGTGCACATGTGGAAAATGCTCTTGTAATATTGGGAAAAGATTGACTGAGTCTAAAGAAAAGGAAAGATTGTATGAATTTCTTTGGGACTGGATGATGATTTTTCGACTGTCAGGACTCAAATCTTCACATCGAAACCTACACCAACACTTGGAGAAGCTTACCATCTCGTCGCTGAAGATGAACAGCAACATGCCATCTCAGCCACAAGAAGGATGCCTCATGATGCATGTAACGCCCGTAGATCCGGGCTAGTCAATTTAGAGGTAATAGGGGTCGAAATGACTTTTCGACAAAAGATTATTTAGAATAAATAATCTTAACCAAGTTGTAGAATATTTCACAAGGTTTCCGTACATATAAAGAGCGTCGAAATCGGAGTTATAACGAAGAAGTTATGACCCGTCGAAGTTTTGCGACGAAACCGGCAAAACACCGGGAAACGTAAATAGTGATTTTACGATGGAGGAATTTTTAGCCTTAGTGATCTAAACGAAAGTCGTATACTGTATTAAACCGAGAAAATCCATAAAAAGAACGCCCAAATCTGACTTCGTATGAAGAAGTTATGATTTTTCTAAGATTCGGCTTAGCAGTGCACAACCCGAAACTCGAATTTTAGTTCGAAAGGTTTTTGGCTTACGTGACTTAAATGAGAGTTGAAGATCTCATTAATAAGAACTTAACAGTAAAAAGACAGACGAAAACAGAATCCGTATGAAGGAGTTACGAATTCTTCGCGGTCATTTAACAGTCTAAACTCCTCGTACTGTTAAATTTAAGATCGGTCGAGAATTAGCCGACGGAGTCAAAATGAAAGTTGTAGATATTATTTTTACCTACGCGTGGATAGAAAGAACGTAAAAAACGGAGATCGTATGTGAAAGTTACGGATTTTAGAAGTCGGAAGTGCTGTGCGAAAATGGGTGATGTGGCACAATCTTAGCCATTGCTTTCTCCCAAAGTCTTGCCACTAGATGGTGATATGTGGCATCAAGTTCAACCATTTTCACCCTATAAATAGAACCTCTCCCACCCTCATTTTCTTCACACCTTTCTCATTCTTTCTTCTCTTTACTTTCTCTCTAGAACCTCTCTCTAGCCCCGAAACCCCCCAAAAAGCCTAGGGAACCTCCCTAGCACAAGACGGAAGCCCCTGAGTGCTCGACGGCTCCGAGAAAAAGAGCTTTTTCGCATGGGAATGCTGCTCCAAGCAAAGCTTGGTTTTCTATAAAACCCGCTGTAAGTGAGTTACGCCTACGCTATTTTTAATATAGTTTTATTTAATTATATTAACGTTATTAAGAACATATAATAAATAATTGGGCTATTATTATGGGTTATATAAGTATTATTTAACGGTTATATAATAGTAATAATAGCTAGACTATTAATTAGTCTCGGTGAATAATAGACTAAACTCTGGTGGTAATAATACTAAGTTTCGTCGAAGGAAATTATTTTTTTCAAGAAGTGAAGCGTTGTCTGAGTTCGGAATCACCACCTTTTCAAGTGGGTGCATAGTTACTTTCATCTTACACATAGATATGAAGTATTTTATATAAACTACGTGCTATGTGTGCATATTATCTGTATACTTGCTGTCTATGCTGGATGAACGTTTTTATGCATGTTTTAAAGGATTTAAACTGTATACGCATTTTATATATATACGAATATGTTGGGTATGACATGGGTAGATGAATGATGAGAGATAAAAGATGATGTGAGTAAACATTGGTAGCTATTGACTAAGTGCCTAATAAACATCGGTAGTTATGGACTTAGTGCCTATTGGACAAACACCGGTAGCTATGGATTTAGTACATGTTAAGGAATTGGTAGCTATGGACTTAGTACCTATTAGATAAATACTGGTAGCTATGGATTTAGTACTCGATGAATAGACTATAGCAGCCATGGAATTAGTGCTTTATGAATGAACATTGGCAACTATGGATTTAGTGCCAGTCCTATAACCGTGGAAGTAAGGGACTTTGGAATAAACGAATGCAGAATAGATGACTCTTAGGATAAATCCTTAAGAGTAAAGAAGATAATGTGAATGGGTAATTGGGTTGATTGTTTGATTGTTTAAACATAATAATTATATTATTGTGGGTTGAAAACCCTATGTACTCACCAGGTTTCCCAACCTGACCCACTCAGTTTATTTATATCACAGGTGTTGATATGAAGTCACATTACACTGAGAGATTAAAGAGATGTAGATCACTAGTGTAAATAAATGTAAGTTCTATTTATGCTTATGTTCCTGTATTGACGATGACATCCCAAACGTTTTAAAATGAATAAATTACGTTTCTTCGAAAATGTTTTAATAACGTATTTATCGTGTTTTTCTGGGAACGAATTCCGCAACATTTTTATTAAAAGAAGAACTCTAATTTTTATAAAGCATAAACAAAATCGGTCTTTTCTGGCTGTGAAAATGGGGATGTCACAATGCAGCAACGTTTCAAACCTCCAGCATAAAAAAAACGAGATGCATTAGCTGAGGTTGTAGATTCAAGAAACAGGGGCATGCCCAAGAAAACTAAACGCACAAACCAAGAAGTGGAACACTGCACAGTATGTGGGAAAAATGGGCATAACAAAACTGGATGTTTCAAGGTGATCGGATATCCAGAGTGGTGACACGGAAAGGAAAAGAAAGAAAAAGAAAATCCAAGAGCCTCTTGGGCCAATGCTAATTCGAGTCCTATTGCTGGACTCATGAATGAACAATATCAAATGTTGATCAAGCATCTCACCATTGGCAAGAAGGTGGAAAACAATGATGATGCAGGTGCAAGTGCAAACTTGGCTGGTAAGACAATAAAAAGTGAATCTTGGATTATTGATACAGGTGCAACAGAACACATGACTGGTGATCAAAGTTTGCTTGAAAGCAAAATAAATTTTAGTTATGAAGCTACCAAATGGCATGAAGCTTGGGAATGTGTTATATATTCCCTTATTCAATTGCAATATGTTGTTGGTAGGACATCTAACAGATGACTTGAACTGTGCTGTGACATTTTTTCGTGGTTTTTGTGTTGCACAGGACTTAGCCACAAAAAACTTGATTGGTGTGGGTAAGCGAGAAGGAGGGCTCTATCGGATGGATTCTGAAGAAAAGATGACAAGAACTATGGCAGGTAGTCAGAATGTTGAGATTTGGCATAGAAGACTTGGGCACGCATCAAAATCTAAACTGCATAGAGTTGATATTTTTAAAAAATTCTAGTTTTAGTCTGAAAAATAAAAATTGTGATTCTTGTGTAAAGGCAAAACTCACACGATTACCATTCCCCATTTCATCTAGTAAGACAATTGATTGTTTTGAATTAGTGCACTGTGACATTTGGGGTGCATATCGGACACCTTCTTTTAATGGGGCTCGTTATTTTTTAACTATAGTTGATGACCACAGTAGAGCTGTTTGGGTCTTTCTCCTTAAACACAAGCATGAAGCAAGTAAATGTTTGATCGAGTTTTCTAACATGGTTAAAACATAGTTTGAAAAGAAGATAAAAAGAGTAAGAAGCGATAATGGTGGGGAGTTTGTTTCACAAGTTATCAGTGACTTTTATGCATCAGAAGGGATTATGCTTGAGACATCTTGCGTTAAAAACCCCCAACAAAATGGAATAGTAGAAAGAAAACACCGGCATCTACTTGAAATTGCTAGATGTTTGAAGTTTGAAGCGAAATTGCCCACCAAATTCTGGGGGGAATGTGTGTTGACAGCAGCCTATATCATCAATAGGTTGCCATCTAAAATAATTGATCACAAAACACCTTTTGGCAGAAAACCCGATTACACCCACATGAAAATTTTTGGATGTTTGGTGTATACTAGAAATACTGAAACAGGAGGAGATAAGTTCGAAGTCAGGGGGAGACCTGGGATTTTCATGGGATATCCTCAAGGTCAAAAG